CTAAAGGGTGTTTTTTCATGTCCTCTATGCTCTAACTACGAAAATATTTGATTTACAAATAAGGAATCCTACTTCGCGGAATTTCATTTATCACAGTAGGGTCTAGAACAGATTAACCGCGATAAACGAGGGTTCACTGTAATGACTACCTTGAAGGTGATATGGTTGCTTTGTTAAAAAAAAAATAAGGTTTTTTCTTTGAGAGGGTGGAATTATAGGGTTTTTTTGGGGGGGGGTGCCCCCTAGTATGTTCATTTTGTTTTTGTTTTGAAAAAACTTATTAGCTGTACCAGCAGGAATGATTTGGTATCTGACTTTTTAAAATTTGAACCTCCATGAGGGCTCATGATGCTGAGAATCATTTTATACGTCTTCTTCAGTAAGCTGTCGATTCAAATCCTTTGCCCATTGTATGACTAATGTATGGTCTTTCTGTTGTCAACGTTTTACAAAACTTTGCTTATTCGATTCTTGTTGGACATACGGTCTCCAGAGCTATTACACCAGGCAGTAGTGTGTCTTTTTCACTCTTTCGGTAAAGAATCAATGCTTTGATTTGTATGAGCTCCCACTTACTTAATTCGCCTTTTGCTGCTGACGTTTTCATTATAGTATTAGGTAGTCAGAGGTTAACAGCTGGGCCTGGTGGCAATGCCCCTTCTGTTCTCAGAATTTTATAGTTTTGGCTTGCACATTGAAGGTCCTTAAGCCATCTTTTTGTTGATGGTGTGGCTCCCGTCTCATTTTTTTTTGCATGTACAAATCCAATTTTGCCAGCACTGTTTATTGCAGATTCTTCTTTCCACATCAAATGAATGGGCTAAGAACTCACTCACCCCCATGGAGTCAATTCTGACTCAGAGCGACCCTATTAGGGCAGGGTAGAATGGCCCCTGTGAGTTTCCGAGACTTACTATTTATAGGAGCTGAAAGGACCGTCTTTTTCATGCAGAGCCACTGAAGGTTTGGAACTGCCAACCTCGCAGATAGCAGCCCAACATGTAACCACTATACCTCCAGGGCTCTTGCACTTAGCACAACTTGTTCAAAACCATTTCACCATAGGCTGTCCTTCTTTTTGATGCCGCCTAGGTTGTTTAATATTTTGTTCACAGAATATTGCAACTTGAAGCTTGTACTTTTCTTCGTTCTGTTAACTTGAGAGATACCGGGTACATTCTTCTCTTGTGGTTTTCGACCTGTAGGTCTTTGCACATTTCAATACAATACTTTACCTTGTCTTCTCAAGTCGCCCTTTGACAAGTTCTGTTCCCGTCTTTGACCTCATCATTTCTTCAATTTGCTTTAGGTACTTGACGTTCAAGAACAAGTTTAAGAGTGGCCGACTAGTATCTAACCAACCAAGGGGAACATAAGAATACCAGGTAGTGAGGTGGGGAACAGAGGATGGGCAAAGCGTAGGCTGGACAGTGGCGACAAAACGCTACAGATGTTTACACCGCAGATGAGCCCTTTGTCCTGCTCTTACCTGGTAGAGTCTGATGATGTGAGGGTGGCAAAGCAGCTTCATAATTTGAACTTCCCGGAAAATCTTCTTCAGGTTTTCTTCATCCAGCTGGGTCTTGTCTATGATCTTGATAGCAACCTGGGGACAGAGAAGAGACTGCTCTGAAGCCGATGTGACAGGGAGGCTTACTGAGCTTGTTGACTACATTCGCGGGATTATAGGATTAAGGCATAGGCGTTATTGAACTGCAACTGTTAGGCACAGAATATTGTGTTGTTCACTTATAGAATATTATGTTTAAATGAGGCTCTGGCACATTTTTCAATTGTATGCATTTTACTTTCATCCTATTAGGTACAGATATGATTTTATTATTATTTGTTTGAAAGTTGTATGTGGCTAAAGAGTTCTGTGAAAGTGTCAAATTGATAAGGAGTGGGCTGTGGTAGTTACATAATCTGGGTCAATTTGAGGATTCAGAGTGAAGGGTGGAGTCTAGCCTGTCAGTCAGGTAACAGCTTAATGACCTCATTTCGGTGGCTTTAAGGAGAGTAAATCGCTCTCTGGAGGCGACACAGAGGCTTACGCCCTGCGAGACATCCCTGGGGCGAAGACACATGGAGAGAGGCTGATGGAGCCAGACCTCTGGAGCCGGAGAAGCCACGTGGAGACCCTGCCAGCTCTGGATCCACAAGACTTTCCATCCACAGGCCTACGATTGTCCTGCATTCGGTGTCACTGCACATGTTTCGTGAGTCTGAAGAGGACTTTCTAGACTGGTATCGGACATATGGGCTATTAACAGACTTATGGACTTGATCTGGACTGAGCTGGAATGTTTTCTCAATGTTCAACTGCTCTTGTATATAAAAGCTCTTTCTTATACACATATGAGTGTCTATGGATTTGTTTCTCTAGTCTACCCAGACTAACACACCATATGAAAACTCATTTACAGGGAAGATAAACCAATACACAGGCTGCCAGTATTTTATTTGCAGAATGTCGAGGAGGAAAGTGAATTTACTCTTTTTTTTTTAAGGTAGAAAATTTATTCTTAGTAGATTAGGTCTCAAAGAAACAGATCTCAAATGTTTCTGGGTCTGTGGCCATTTCTTCAAGTGACTCAGAGCAAAATGCCATGACACACGCTTCATTCCCCTATGATGTGGCTACAGTCTGGATGAATTAAGCTCCAGTGTAGACCATGGTACGTGACGGTGAAGGTGGTGGTGGCGGCGGCAGCAGCATTACCAAACACCATATGTCTCCTATGTACCGGACATAATACTCAGCGCTTCGCAAGTGCTGATTCGTTTCAACGTCACAACAACCCCATGTTACTACTCACCCTGTAGTCCACTCGGGACCAGAAAGTGAGTCACTGATCCAAGGCAGTATGTGGCCGGCTTAGGGCAAAAGCGCAGGCAATCTGGTCCTGCAGAACCAAATTCTTAACAATAGTGCTATCGAATTCTGCAGCGCTCTCTGTACTGTACATTCATTGCTTCCACACAAAATGTATTTCTCTATTTGCCCAACCCAGTATTATTCCATGTCCAATAGCACATGCATTTCAATGCAGAATAAAAGACGATGGGGGGAGGGGGGAGAAGGACAATTGAACTTTTATTTTTAATCTACTAAATCTAAGCTCGCTCACTCTTTTTTTCTCAGTGACATACTGGAAACATTTGTGTTGCCCTAAAATATCTCTCTATCTCCGTTTCAATTATTCAATCAGTAGGTGTGCAATCAACATTAGTCACATGAAAGACTTGTATGGAAGCACCTGAATTAAGCAAACTCTAAAGCAGGCCAAGCCAATCCCTCCTCACACTGACCCTCCTGGAGAGACAGAGCCACAGAGCCGACCGACCCTCACATCTTTCTCAACCGAACAGCGCAGGTTCAAATCAGGCTCTCAGCGAGCAGGTGAGTGCGTGGACACGGCTGTTCCAGGGCTCTCCCCAGGCAAATACTCTTGCTCCACGAAATTCGCCACCTGACTCATAGCAAACACCGCCCCCGCCGCCCCCCCCCCCCTACACACACACATACACATTACCATTCTTAAAATTCGGTTGTTCTATTATCCATAGCCTGGCCTGGAAAGGAAAACATTTACTGAGGAAAAAAGAAAAGAAAGAATACATGGGGAAAGCAACATTTCAACCCTAACAGAGTTTGCCCACAGGAGCCTGCAGCAGTCAGCAGTTCCAAACCCCCCACCGCCCCTGGGAGACAGGTGAAGAGTTCTTGTCCCTGTAAAAGGCTTGAAGGTAATCAAGCGGCCATCAAGCTCAGACGCAACAAAGCCCACAGGGAAGAAGCACACCAGCCTGTGCGATCACGAGGTGTCGAAGGGATCAGGTATAAGGCATCATCAGAACAAAAAAATCTTACCATAGTGAATGATGGGGGGACTGCGGAGTGGAGACCCAAAGCCCATTTGTAGGCCACTGGAGACCCCGTTGGAGAGGGGTTTCCGGGAGAAGACCAGCCAGTCAGGGTGCGATATAGCAACGATGAAAAATACAACTTTCCTCTAGTTCCGAAATGCTTCCTCCCCGCCCCCACTATCATGATAAGAATTCTACCTTGCAAGTCTGGCTAGACGAGAGGATGTACACTGGTACAGATAGGAACTGGAAATACAGGGACTCCAGGGCGGATGATCCCTTCAGGACCAGTGGTGTGAGTGGCGAAACTGGGAGGGTAGAGGGAGAGTGGATTGGAAAGAGGGAACCGATTACAAGGAACTATATGTGACCTCCTCCCTGGGGGACGGACAACAGAAAAGTGGGTGAAGGGAGACGTCTGACAGGGCAAGATATGACAAAATAATAATTTATAAATTATCAAGGGCTCATGAGGGAGGGGGGAGCGGGGAGGGAGGGGAAAAATGAGAACCTAATGCCGGGGGCTTTAAGTGGAGAGGAAATGTTTTGAGAATGATGAAGGCAATGAATGTACCAATGCGCTTTACACAATTGATGTGTGTATGGATTGTGATAAGAGTTGTATGAGCCCCTAATGATTTTTTTAAAAAAGATTTACAACCTGGGAAGCCCACAGGGGCACTTCTACTCTTTCCTACAGGGTTGCTGTGCACTGGAATCAACTCGATGGCACTGGGTTTGTTTTTGTATTACAGTATTTATAGAAAGAAAGACTACTTCTAATTATTCATGACAGACTATGGACACATAGGACGCGAAGTAACTTTGTTTCAGAAGCTTAAATGTCGACTAGTGAGAGAAAAGTACAGGGAGACAAAGGTCAGATTGATTTTTTAAAAACATTGGTTAATTACTCAGCTGCTAACCACAGGGGCAGTGGGTCAACCCTCCAGCTGCTCCGTGGGAGAACGCTGTGGCCGTCTGCTCCTATGAAGAGTGATGTCCAGGGACACCGTGGAGGGCAGTTCTGCTCAGTCCTATATATATCGCTGCCATGTGTGTAACTCGACTCCATGGCCATGGATGTGTGTTTGTGTTTCAGTAATGGAATGTGACGGCACGAGCAAGGTGTGACCGCTCAAACGTAACACTATATCAATATGGCCTTATCCTAAAAGAATTCACAATCTAGTAAAGAAAACATGCATGAAACAGAAAACATGACATATTATTAGAAGTACAATTAATACAGCTCTGTATAAGGTTTAAGTGGGCATTAGTGGTTTATTGGGAAAATCCTGGCCTTCTGGTGGGAGATCCAGGTTCCACTCCTAGCCAATGCTAATGTGCCCGTGTGCGGCTAGCACCCAGCTAGCTCTCCCCAGGGGACTGCATGTGGCTATGCTGCTGATCAGCTTTCAGTGGAGTTTCCAGACTAAGATAACCCGGGGAAAGTACTCAGGGTCCACTTAGTCTCTCCCAGGTGCCGGACAAAAACCAGCCAATGAAAACCCAAGGGACCACAGTGGCCCACTCCCCATCTCACCAGGAGAAGAGACAGATGTCGGGAAAGACCACAAGGGTGGCCTAACTGGAGAATGGAAAGTGGGGAGGTGAGAACTTTATGAGGAGAACAGTAGATTTGTTAACAAATCTTAGGTTCTTGTCGCCTTTAAAAAGCCTTGAATTATATGACCCTTGACCACGGCTAGCTTTTCTCCTGGTCTTCCTTCCTGTGCCATGTGAGGGGAGGTCAGATGCACAGACATTCCCCCACTGAGGGCAATCAGTTGCCAGACTGCTGTCTCATCCCACAGCAGGGTGGGCCTGCTCCCTGCCTCTGGGGACAATGGACAGGCTCCTGTAGGAGGGGTTTACACCCTACTGATAATGTTCCTATGGAGACCCAGAGACCACCCTCTCATTGC